CCAGTTCTCAGCTTTCTCAGCTTCCAGCTCCACAGATTGCTCCGCGTCCGTGTGCTGCAAAGTCGCCAGTTCTCATCTTCCAGCCCCCCAGATACTCCGCGTACTAAAGTTCAGATACTCCGCGCACTAAAGTTGTACTACAAAGTCGCCTTCCAGCTCCACAGATGCTGTGCCTGCCACGAAATCTGCACATGGAGGTTCACAAAGGGCTGTGCCTGCCACGAAATCTGCACCTCGAGGTTCACAAAGCGCTGTGCCTGCCACGAAATCTGCACGTGGAGGTTCACTAAGTGCTGTGCCTGCCACGAAATCTGCACATGGAGGTTCACAAAGTGCTGCGCCTGCCTCGAAATCTGCACATGGAGGTTCACAAAGTGCTGTGCCTGCCACGAAATCTGCGCCTCGAGGTTCACAAAGTGCTGCGCCTGCCACGAATTCTGCACATGGAGGTTCAGAAAGTGAAGTGCGGCGGCTACCACGAAATCTGCACATGGAGGTTCACAAAGTGCTGCGCCTGCCACGAAATCTGCGCTTCAAGAAACAAGTGAAACTCCAATTGGTGGCTTCTTAGCTGGTGGTGGTGGAGCACAATTGGTGGCTTCTTGGAGGTGCCTTGGATGACTTTGCTGAGGCATCAGCTCCAGTGCCATCATCACCAGCTTTGCCATCAGCAGCTGGCGCGGCTGCAGGCGCACTGGATGGCTTTACTGCAGCTGGTGCAGCGGCAGGCGCACAGCGGCGGAGCCCCAGCGACGCCAGGGCGACACCGGGCGACGCCAGGGCGTTCATCCAACCAACGGGAGAACACCAAAGTGCTGCGCCTGCCACGCACATCACAGCGGCGCAGCGGCATTGGTGGGTAGCAATTGGTTGGTGGCAATTGGTTGGTGGAAGTTTGTTGGTGACAATTGGTGGGTAGCAATTGCTTGGTGACAATTAGTGGGTAGCAATTGGTTGGTGGAAGTTTGTTGGCGGCAATTGGTTGGTAGCAATTGGTCGATGACAATTGGTAGGTAGGTAGGTGGCAATTGGTTGGTGACAATTGGTGGGAGGCGCTTGGTTGGTGACAATTGGTTGGTGACAATCGGTTGATGACAATTGGTTGATAGCAATTGGTGGGTGGCAATTGGTTGGTGACGATTGTTGGTAGCAATTGGTGGGTGGCAATTGGTTGGTGACAATTGGTGGGTGGCAATTGATGGGTGGCAATTGGTTGGTGGCAATTCGTTGGCGGCAAGCGGGAGGCGGGAGGAGGAGGAGGAAGGAGGAGCGGATACCACACAAAAAACAAAAACCCCACACGTCAATGTGGGGAAAACAAATGGTTGTTTCTAATAAGACTAACCCTGCCTTGCACATCTGGCTAACATGCTCATAAATAACCCTGATCACTTTACAAATCAGGAACACCCAGGACAGGGGCTCTATAGAAAACCAATATTTTCTCTACAAAACGGTTGTTTCCAATACCAGGGTTGACCCAATTTGTAAAGGAAATTTAACAGGGGATTTGAGAACTATGAAAACGATGAGACTGAAGGAGTTGAATGTCCACTCCAACGCATCAGCGCCCGCCATGGCCTTGATCGATGGCGGCACTACCTTCGGCCAGTTCAAGTCGAGTTCGCTGCTAGGAGCGCTACGCTGCATAACTCTTTCCAACGCGCCGGGCGAGATTTAGCTTAAATTGGGAAGGGCCAGACGCACCTGATACTATACCTGGGAACCGATGTCGCGTGCTTAAAACACCTTTCATGGGCGGGTTTGGTGGTGCGTCTGTATAGTGGCAAGCGCTCCAAGGACTGGATGGCCAGCGAGTGGACGTTGTGCGCAGTTTGATGTGCGCGCTGTGGGCTTGGCGTGCCGCCGTGTCGGACTGTGTCTCACCCACCCCGCCAAGGACCTTGCCCAATCATGGGAAGAGACAGCCGACGAATCATGCTGGAAGGTTTATCTTCTGCTGGGCATGAACCAACTATGAGCGATCAGTGAGCACAGTGCTTTCCCCCAAATTTGATCACGTTGGGCAATTGAAGTCTGGTAGGATGGCGACGAAACAGCTCCAAAAGAAAGGTGCGCCACGACAGCCCTGTCCAACTTCTCTATATGTAAGAACTTCTTGTTCTTGCCCTTTCCATTGGACAACATAAGAAGCGCGCGTACGCCAAGTCATCAAAAGATGAATCAAGTGCGTAGGATGTTCCAGGAGAGTCAGGGCCGAGATGTTCTCTGGGCATAGCATCAAAAGCATCAGTGAGACAGTGGGATCCAAGAACAGTTGGCGGGTGGAATGTGATGAAGCCCCCTCACTTTGGAAGCATCATTGCGTCAGTGGTGGGCCAAGGCTTGTACCTCACGCGCGTGTTGGGTCAGTCTGTTGATGGCATTCCAAGTGCCACGTCCAGGAAGGTATGGACATTGAGGGTATTGGATCAGGCGGTCCATGCAAAGACTGCGCGCGTAGGTGACAAACAACCGCATCATGGCTTTGGAGATAGGTGTTTGCAAGGCAATGGGTCGAAGTCTGCTTGGATCAGTGGCACGCTTGTTGGGTTTGGGAAGCAAAACGCCCAACCTTTCCTCCATTCCAAGGTATTGCGCAGTTTTGGATCCAGAGGTGGAGCCAGCTTCCAAGAAGAAGGCCAAGATCTACTGCCAGAGCTTGCCAAACCGGCCCTGGAGCGATATGTGGTGGAACACTCTTCTTGGTGGGGATGTGTTGCAGTTCGTGAATGATGTGAGCAAAGGAAGTGTGGAGTTGGTGAGTGTAAAGGTGGGAACTTCAAGATCGTCTCCTGGATAGGTATGTAGCAGGTGTTGCTGTATCCATTGAAGTTCGACGCCTGGTGCCTTCATGAGGACGGAGAGCTGGCCTGTGATTAAACGAGCCTGGCGTTTCCAGCCTTGAAGTCGAGCTGTTAGCGCCAGGAGTAAAAGACGCCCTGCAGCGTAGTGGATGAAGCGCCTGGACAAGTGGGTGATGTCACCCAGGACCAGTTGGGTGGGGTGTCCTTCCTTCATTTGTGGATCTTTCAGAGCCTGGGGTTGAAAATCTCGACAGGCCTTCATGAGAAGATGGTTGAGTCGAGGAGGGTCTGGTTCATCAGGATGAATTGGTCTGGACCTTAGTGAGCCAGTGTTGCCAAGAAGTGCTTGTGGCCTCGCTGCGAGAGTCGTTCTCGTTGATTTTTGGTTAGTAGGTTTGTGGCTGAGGTTGTCCATCGTCTCCACTGATAGGGGATCGTAGCAAGCAAGGGGATGTGATCGGTTGCATTCCAAAGTTGGAATGTAAATCCAAGAGGTACGCAGGATGACGTGTGTCCCGACGATGTTTGACCAGTATGAAGTCGAGGAGCTTGCTCCTCTAGGGCCCTGATATCTGGCCGGAAATTTGGTGTCCCACGTGTTGATGGCCTCCAATCCATGCTGTTGGAGAAGATCCTCAAAGGTCTTCTTGTCCTTGTAGGAGGGCCTGAAAGTCAGGGAGTCCAACACAGCTGATGACAAGCTGTCCAGGAGGTCTTCCATTTGTGCCAGGTTGTCCGTGTCCTGATCATGCGACAGATATCGGTAAGCATTGCCAATGTCGATGTTCGTGGTTTGAAGATAGAGACGAACATGCATCAGTCTGCTTGAAATGATGGGCCTCCACGCTAATCTGTCTGACGAATAGTAGCTTTTGTTGATAATGGTGAGCAGGCCTCCGGAAGGTCCTGTGGCTGCAGTGTGCACGTACAGCTAGGAAGCTGTCGTCTTGCCAGTCTCCATCGAAGGTTGCCGCTCTTGGTAGAACAGTTCAGGTAGTTCAAGTACTCCCAAAAGATCAGGAGGACAAAGGACAAGGCCTCAATGAGGTCAAGGATGTAGTGCCGGCAAGTGCAACCGCCGAGCTCGTGGAAGAAGTGATCACAATCTCTGTGTGCTGGAGGAAGGCGGGTAATGTTCCTGTAATCGAAGGTGATCTCGTTCAGTACGATGATCTTTTGGTTGCCCATGGCAGGTGGAAGACGCTCCTCCTCCTCCCCATCATCATCAGCTTTACCTTGTGCCATCTCCTACTCGCGACCCTGTCGTCAATTTTTCAGAAAAGCTTTAATGGAGCCTTTGCTAAAGCCTCGGGCCCCGACCATGGGCTCTGTTGATTGCTTTCCCGGGTCTGCGGAATGCGCTTGGCCAGCAGTCCAGGTGGACAGCATGAGGGGCTGGCCTCAAAAGCTGTGATGATGACCTCTGACTGAAAGCAGGCATGATTTTCTGTGCTCAGCTGGCGACCCACAAGCAAGGATTTCTCCTTGTTGGGCACCTCCGACGACAAACCAGTGCCCCAGTGGACCAAGTTGATTGAATACAGAATACATCATGAACACTGAAAACAAACAATGGCACACGACATCAACCGAATACCAACCCAGGTTGTTATGACAGCTCAGGAAGTCAAAGAAGTCAATTTCATACAGCCTCCCAAAATAACCAGTTTTCGAGAGGCTTTGGGGTTGGCAGACTTTGTCTGAGAATCCTAGCGCGGGCAAATCATTCGGAGCGCCTGAGTGGAGATCTGAGTCTTTAGCTCAAGCCTGCAACGCGCGTCATTGAGCAAACGAGTGTCAAACAGAACGCCCATACGACGCGATTGGAGAAAACAGCTCAAACCAAACCCTGCACTGGCAACAACATGTTGGCAATCAAAACAAACAAAGAGTCGAAGAGTGTCCTTTAGGGCCCCCCGCAATTTTTCTTTCAAATGCTGCCTCCTCTCCTCCAGGTTGGAGCTTGCGAGCGCTTGCCTCGCGCACCGCCGCCGTCGTCACTCGTTCTTTATGTCTTTGTGCAAAATTTGCCCTCATAACCCTCTCCACATCTAAGCGACAGCACTGCGATGGCAAACTGCCCACCTTTGCAGGCAAACAGGCAGCGCTGAAGTTGACCATGTTGAAGCAAGTACTTCAACGCTCAGCATGGCCGCACTGCAAAACCAAGATCAGACCGCAACAAACCAATCCGGCTAACCTGACTGCGGGAACACCAGCCTGCAAATCTTCGCGGCCCTTGGCAGAGGCCTGGCAACGCAGCAAGACGCGCTGCAACAAAGACCCTTGCCCAAAGCCTTGCGCCGTTTCTTCCGCTGGCGACCATCTGGACCTTTAGCTGCATCCTCCAAGCGAAGCTGTGAGAGGCAAGGAAAGTGCAACTCCAACGAGGCTGCAGCCATCAACTTTGTACCGCAACAAAGACTTGCAAATCGCCAAGGCAGGCACATGCTTCTAGCCGCGCACTTTCAAAGCCAACAAAGAGATGTGTTCAAAGCCCGGGCAAATTAAAAAGTGCGACCCCGTTTCGGGCTCCTGCAGGTTGGTGGGCAAATGGTCGGAGGACATTTTGTGTTTGCAGATCGGTGGGATAAGGTTGGTGACAGGTTTTTTGGACCTTGCAATTGCAACAGGATAGGGATAGGCATGGATAGGCGGATAGGCAGTTGATTTTTTCACTTCCATGTGTCAATGGTGAAGCAAACTTCTGGTTGAGTTCCAGGCAGACTGGAAGAGAAGAAACACATAAAATACAAGCGGCGCGCAACAAAGAAAGAGAGACAAGCATACGATAAAGACAAGCAGCAAAGTGAAGAAGGAAAACCTAAGAAAGAGGCAAATGAAAGCCAGCAGCTCCCAACATTGTCAGTCTTTAACACTCTGAGATGTTCTTCGAACTATACCCGCAAGCTATACTTTGGTCCAGCTCAACTTGGTCCAGTGTCTGTCGCGAAGCAATCTGACAAAGAAATTGATTGCAACCAACAGCAGGTGAAAGATGCTCTGGCCGCTGCAGCGCGCCACGGTAGCTATGACGGTGGCGCGCAAGAGATTTTGGGAAGAAACTGGCTCGACCACAAATGAACCATGCTGGGCACTACTTGCGCAGTTCCTTCAGAACATGATGTCTCTTTTTTTCTTGTTCCGTGTTGCTTTTGCAATGTTTCGACAGCTGAGCGCAATCGATACATGCCCAGCAATAGCAACACCCTTCGAACCAAAAGGATGGCTCCAAATGACTACAGCAAATCGAGGCGTGAAGACGCAGCGAGGCAATCGAAGAAAATGCGTGCTTTTGGAAAGGCGATGGAACATCCATAAAAATAGTCTAAATTTGAATGCGCCATGTATCTGCAACTGCGGACCTTTACTCCTAGCTTGCTTTTCCTGCAGCATCTCGCAGGAGCAAGTAAATAAACAAGTGTTTTTGGAGTGCATGTGATATGCCATTTGCCAAACACTGTCTTCACCACGCCACAAATCACAACCTTACACATCATCACATTCAAATCACCACATCACCGGAGATGACATCACCACAGCAAACTTCACCACTCATAACTTTGTCGCAACTAGTCACACACGTCAAACCAAAACCGCACAAATCTTCCTGGTTTATTCTCTGTCTTTCTCATTGTTAAGCTTTGACACTTTGACCTTCTTGCACTGCCAGAGGCTGCTGGTGGTAGAAACACTATAGGGTGGCGGCGGCGGCGGCGGTGGTGGCGGCAGCAGCGAACATGTTGCAAAATATACTGTATGCTTCACAGTTCACAGTGACATCCGTATACCGCTTGTGGATGCTGCGTAGTGTGGGTTTCATTGGACGGTGGATTGGCAAGGTGGCGTGTGGGTGGTGGCTCGCGTAAAGCTCGCAAACAAAATGTACAAAATGAAAGGGTAGGAACTTGTAGCATTTTCTAAGAAAAAACAGCAAAAACACCCTAGAGCATGCCTGCCCACCCTAAGTTCGTCAGAAAATGAACTTTTCGTTCTATAGTGCAATGATTGGTCGCTGCAAAAAGGTCAAGCGAAGGGTGGGCACCATCATCCTATACAGAGGTCAGCTTCTGCTGCTCTTTGATTACAGCAGGCTCAAAGAGTCTTCATACTATTTCAAAAACTTTGCTATCCCCTCGCACGCCACAATGCCACGCAAAAAATTGATAGAATGAATGATATTAGAAAGAGCACGCTCTAAAAATGATGGGCCCCAAAGTTCTCCAGAAAATATATACAGTAAGTTTGCTTTGCCAGGCCGACCCCGACGAAGTCTTTCCTGCCCAGGACAGCAAAGCCCTGAATCAGACCAGGTGGGCCCGCGGTTTGCGCGAAAGGAAATGGAGAGGTGCGAGGAAAGTAGTTCAGCAAGGAAGAGTCGGAATGCTTGAAGCAAGCGCCATGCCCTGTGAAGCAAGAAGGATCAACAACTTGAGGTAGGGCTGTGGCACTGTCCCGAGCATGCTTGCCCAAATGCCTGCCGCAAAGAAATAGGAAAGGAAGGAAAACAATAGGAAACGGTCTGCGCTTATTTGACTTTTCCAGAGTTTTCTAGGTGTGGAGCTGTGGAGGCATATCATCATTTTGCAGTAAGTTGTGCTGTTGCGTGGTTTTCCCTGGCGCTCCTTGCCTGGCAGGCTTCTAAGCAAACTCTAAACTCCAAGTGTATCTTCATTACAGTAAACTTGTGGCCCAGAGCGGGGTGGCGAAAGCTAGGCAAAGAAACAACGCTGGGGCTCTTTGGCAGGAAAAGCCTGGCCGGGAATCGAACATGCCATGGCCAAAGGAAAAGGAGATTGCCAACAGCGCCCCCCCAATACGACCCCAACACAGCCAACACATGGCAACACACAACCACCCCAGCAACGGCAGCAGCAGCAGCAGCAGCTACCAAGCAGCAGCAGCATCATCAGCAGCAGCCACCAAGCAGCAGCAGCTACCAAGCAGCAGCAGCAGAAGCAGCAGCTACCAAGCAGCAGCAGCAGCAGCAGCAGCAGCAGCAGCTACCAAGCAGCAGCAGCAGCAGCAGCTACCAAGCAGCAGCAGCAGAAGCAGCAGCAGCAGCAGCAGAAGCAGCTACCAAGCAGCAGCAGCATCAACAGCAGCTAGCAAGCAGCAGCAGCAGCAGCAGCACCTGCAGCAGCTACCAAGCAGCAGCAGCAACAGCTACCATGCTGCTGCTGCTGCAGCAGCAGCTGCCACCAAGCAGCAGCAGCTACCAAGCAGCAGCAAGCAGCCAGCAGCAAGCAGCAGCAAGCAGCAGGTACCCGGCAGCAGCAGCAGGTACAGTACCAAGCAGAAGCAGCAGCAGCAGGAGCAGCAACCAAGCAGCAGCAGCAGCAGCAGGAGCAGCTACCAAGCAGCCGCAGCAGCTACCAAGCAGCAGCAGCAGCAGCAGGAGCAGCTACCAAGCAGCTGCAGCAGCAGCAGCAGCAGCCAGCAGCAAGCAGCAGCAGCAAGCAGCAAGCAGCCAGCAGCAGCAAGCAGCAGCAGCAGGTACAGTACCAAGCAAAAGCAGCAGCAGCAGCAGCAGCAGCAGCAGCTACCAAGCAGCAGCAGCTACCAAGCAGCAGCTGCAGAAGCAGCAGCTACCAAGCAGCAGCGGCAGCGGCAGCACCAGCAGCAGCAGGAGCAACTACCAAGCAGCAGCAGCAGCAGCACCAAGCAGCAGCAGCCACGCAGCAGCAGCAGCAGCAGCAGCAGCCACCAACCAGTAGCAGCAGCGGCAGCAGCTACCAAGCAGCAGCAGGAGCAGCTACCAAGCAGCAGCAGCAGTAGCAGCAGCAGCAGCGGCAGCAGCTACAGCAGCAGCAGCTACCAAGCAGCAGCAGGAGCAGCTACCAAGCAGCAGCTACCAAGCAGCAGCAGCTACGAAGCTACCAAGCAGCAGCAGCTACCAAGCTACCAAGCAGCAGCAACTACCAAGCTACCAAGCAGCAGCAGCTACCAAGCAGCAGCAGCAGCTACCAAGCAGAAGCAGCAGCTACCAAGCAGCAGCAGCCGCAGCAGGAGCAACTACCAAGCAGCAGCAGCAGCAGCAGGAGCAACTACCAAGCAGCAGCAGCAGCAGCAGCAAACCACCAAGCAGCAGCAGCAGTAGTAGCAAACCACCAAGCAACAGCAGCAACAGCAGCAAAAGAGCAGCAACTAAGACACATACAAACAGGAGCAGCAGCAGCAGCGACAAAGAACAGCAACAGCACGTTGGGAACTGAGAACCGGTCCGGGGGTGAAGGGTGGAGTTCAACCCGCGCGGGGCGAAGGGGAGGAGGAGAGGAGAGGGGAGGCGAGGAGAGGAGAGGAGAGGGGAGGGGAGGGGAGGGGAGGGGAGGGGAGGGGGGGGTCTAACCCTGATATATCAGGCGTTAGCACTCAGGTCCTGGGTTCCCACCTCCTTGCTAAAGCAAGACAGACTCCAGCTAGCTACAGCTAGCTTTCGTGATGATGCACGCTTCATTCTCAGAAAAATGCACCCATTATCGACAATATTGAAAATTCTCACAGCTAGCCAAATCTTCCTTCTACAACATGACAACAGTTACACGCATTATTTCAACATTCCCGAGAAACCGACAATTGATTGCCTTGCTACAAAAGGCCCAACCTCTCCCTGGGACCCCTATTATATATCAAATCTAGTTTTATCATTCTGCAGTGGATATTCCCACAGGGATGACATTTCTGGAAGCAAAAAATTAGACAAGTTGAACTTTTCACTGGTATGACTATCAGCTTGGTGGCCTCCGAACAGAATGGGAATGAAAGGTGATCATGTTGGAGCTGCGCACAGAACTCACAAGAACAAGGCATGAAATTCTGTACTTCCTGCAAATTGATAGCGACGTTTCTGATGTTGTAATGTGTTTTCATGCATCTTGCCGTGAACACATTGAAACACACAGTAATTATTGGGAATCGGCTACGGTTAAGGGATCGCAATACAGCTACTCTCTCTCCCTCTCTCTCTTTCCCTCTCTCTCTCTCTCTCTTTCTTTCCCTACACATGAAGAGCTTGCTTTGCCAGATCCACATGCCTGTCACAGCCTCACAGCATTGATTCTATAATTCTATAAAATTCAAAACCAGATTTGTGCAAACGTTTGCGTGTTGCAGCGCCCTACCCGTGCTGTACAGTGCTTATCAAGGGGTTCACAAGGCACGCCACGAAAAGGCCACCCAGAACAAACAAAAGCCACGTTGTCGAAGGCCCCCAAAACTGTACAACCAATACCCTCTCTATACAATGTAATCTTCTATAGAGTCAAATGACTGGCATTGTACAGCGTGCCTTTCACGGGGGCTACTATTCTTCTCCAAGAGCAGAGCTTAGGGGTCTTCCGAGCAGATCCGGGCAGGTACCGTTGCAGGTTCCAAAGCCAGTTCCGCAAGAGGTTCTGGAGCAAGTTCCGGAGCAGTTAACGGAGAGGAAGGTTCCAGAGCAAGTTGCAGAGGAGGGGGGGAGGAGGCAAATGTCTTGCCACGCCGAAACGGCGACATGATTCGAGTTGTCACGCCGATCTGCTTGTGCGGTGTCACATGTTATGCGGTCTTGCTGGCATGGGTCACGGTACGTTGTCACGGTGAGATGCTGCAGGTTTGCCGGTTCTTGCATGTACTGGCGTTGTCGCGCTTGTACATATGTGGCGATGTGTTGCCATGTTGCTGTGCTCGTGTGGCACATTGAAAAATAGAGAAAATTCACTCTTCTGAAGATACCATTGCTTGACAAAAACACGACACTTGTCGTTGAACTTGCGATGGTTATTTGCCTAGTAGGCGGATTTTGATGCCCAGCTATTGGAAATTTTCCGTGGGCCCGGGCCCATTCAATTTCTTTTTGCAAGTTTCAACCGTAACGCGGCAAAATCGTGGAATCCTGAACGCTGCCGGCTTCTCCCTGGAGGCCTTCTCGCCTCACGCGCTGCAGCGTGGAGGCGCATTGGCACAAAATGACGCTGCCTGTTGCCCTGGCTGCCCTGGCTTGTGGGAAGGACGTGTGGCCTCAGCAGTTGCACAGCGCCAAAGTTATCTGCGCGCTCGAGTGTTGAGCTTTAAACTGGTCTTCAGCGCTAGACTCCGCAGCCTCGCAACGCTTTCTTGCAAAAATCACGTCCAAAAGCAGCGATTGAAAAACGAAACAGAAGCCAAGACGCATTGCTCCTTCGCGGCCTCGCGGCCTCAAGCTACAGGACAAACGCACAAGCAGACCACGCAACCGTTGCAAACTAGCAAACCGCTTAATCCTTTAAGGCAGGAACCGGTTTGGGTTTCAAAGCAGCAGTGGTGCTCCTGAAAGACCGACAAACTGAACCAATTATATCCAGCTATTATATAGACTCTAGACGTTGTATTGTTTGGTTGGTTTCCAGACTTGCAGCCTCAGCTTGCGCCCGTTCTCTTCTTCTGCTGTGTCGCCTGCCTGACTAAAGTTGCCTGCCGTCCGCCTTTCTTGATACAGCTAGCCCTCAACAAAGACCTGGAACAACTTTACGCCGCTTGTCTGGGCTCTGGCCTGTGCGCATGGTTTGCGCGATCTGCGTGCCCAGCAGATTCGTTGACGCCTGAACAAATTGAGGCCCCTACTGGAAAACATGCGACACAACCCACATTTTGGAATTTGCAGCTCGCAAGCTCAGAAGCTAGCAAAAAACAAGTTGCGAGAACAGTGGTGCCTGCTATGTTTTCACCGGAAGTCGCCCTCGGCAAGGCAGGTGGGAAAGCCTCCGGCGCAAAAACTTTGCCAGTTTGGGCGGCCACCATTCTCTACTGGGGTGGGGGTTTCCAACGACACTCCAGCTGTGCTCCCATTGACGCGCGCGAATACAATACACAATACGTATCTTATCACGCAATTTTGTTATGCGTCCTTGAAAGACACTTGTCGGCCTAACGCCGTAGAGCTCTGGCAACCACCCTCGCGCCCTTTCTCAGCTCGGGCACGAATCAAAAGGTGCCATGGTGTCCCACGCCGTCACCCGTACTTGGGCCTAATGCCACATGACATGTCAGTCGAAGCAACCAGACGTGAGAAACACATCCATCAAAATCTCTGTTGCTTCGACCTGGCAAACTTCCACTGTCATGGCGAGCGAGGTCCATATGGCCTTCGGCTCATCGGCTTCGGTTTTGCTTGTGGTTCCCCCCATGTTCATGGGAACCACGGGAACCGACCTTCATCGTCCGTGGCCATGTTAAAGTGTTCTGTAAGGCCGCTCAATTCCACGACAAGCTCCGGTTCTGCGGCGAATCTTGTTCGCGCGTCGTTTTGCAGGAAATTTTTCTTCCACGCTGGATATTGAGCAAGCTTCCGTCCCCTTCATGGCGCTGCTCAGCAATCGCAGCCAGGAATGCTTCATCCTGCGGCGTCAGGGCCTGAGTTGGGGCACTCTGCTCTGCCGGTCTCCTTTTCAAGAGACCAATGGTCGGCCACTCTCCAGTCCCCTTGACCGTCGGCAGAATCTCACTCTTCTTGATCATTGCCCCGTACTTATCCATCATTAAACGTGTCCTCAATGGTGTCCAAGTACAAAAATGTTCACCATATGCAGTGCTGCAGCGCGCATCGAACAACTCTGAGTGACTCAACTTTGTGAAGTTCGCTTCGTCTTTGGCACGACGGCCACCGTGTTTTCTAGAAGACACCCTGAGCGGAGAGCTTCATCATTCGGATTCCTTCCTTTCATTCTCAACGCCCTTTGATCCGCTGCAATCCTCAACATGACACTCTCATTGTTCAGAGCTCATACTGCCGTTTTCATGGCACCTCTAAGAATATCCGTTGCGTCGGCATCCTGTTTAGTGAGGGCGTCCGCCAACTGCAACCAAGTTGGTGTCCATGCGATTGATCCCCACAAGCGTTTCAATGACTCTTTCGCAGTAGCGAGGTCATTTGCCACTTGCTTGTCGCCAACACTGCCACGTAAGCGTGGAGGTGATTATAGAGGGTCTTACAATCAATTATGGCTTGGTTTTGAAATTCATGAAAGAAGTTCGACCGTCCTTCCACAACAAATGCGGCGCGATCGACTTCTGCAAGTTGGCACGCTGACCGCTCTGTGTGTCCGAGTCCGTCTGCTAGGGCCTGTCTCTCAAGCACAGGTTGAGCCTACAATTCTTTTCAATCGATATGACTTCCATACTTCTGGGATCCATTGGGCTGGTTTTCCTTCCATAAGTTCCTTCGTTGTAATCATTCTTGGCGTTTGCGAACGCAGCATCAGTGAGGACACAAAGTTTGATGTCTGCCAAAGGGATTGGATCTTCCATTTCAAATCCTTGTGTTGCTGCGCTCGACGGGTACTGACCTTGGCCGGCTTGGACTGCTAGATCTGGTTTTGTTTCGTTCACGCGTCCTCAATTTTGGCTTGACCGTAAATGGGCGGAACCCCTCAAAGAGTTGACCTGGGTCCTGATCTGGTATAGAACTTGCTTTGGTCCGGACATGCAGAGTCTCTGATCCCGTTTCAATTCCTTAGTCTCCAAAAATGCTCCGATTTGAAGCGCTGTCAATCTTCCGTTGGAGGATATAGTGGGCGATTGCGTCTTCCCGCCCCGAACAGGTGCAAATAGGTCTGGGTACTTATCGCCACGCGCTGTCCATCTTGCCTTCGCAATTTGTTCGCGCGTGTCATCCACCTTTGGAGTAAACGGTCTCTTCTCAACCGCCTGCTAAAAGCGCTGTGCCTTGCCCTTCTGTCTCGTTGCTACCGCTACCTGATTCAACTGCCAAAACCCATTCTGTTTCTTCTGTTCCAAGTTCGTTCAACGATACAAATTTTGTTTGCAAAAAGATTGTCCGTTGGAGACGAGCTTGATCGGTCTGCTGAACCGCATTCAGTCGAAATGCGATTGTCACGTTGCGCTTCGGCTGCGTTGAGGTGAGGTGGCGCAGGCTACAAATGGGTGAAGCGCAAGTCGGTGACAACTCAACTTTTCTGCGGTGGGCTCGTGGAAACCTGATCCGCTGCTTCCTGGTTAACCTGTGCGTTCTCTGTCCGAATCTACTTTTATGGCAATGTAAAGCCGATTTCTGTTCTTTACACCCAAGTAGGCCTCTTAAAATTGCTCTTTACTTCTGCCAGAGACGACGCCCCTCCTGGACTTCACGCCCCAAGACTGGTCAGGAAAAGACCTTTTTGCTTCGAGGGGCGAGCTTGGCGCGGTATGATGAACTTAGTTTTAAGGCGGTGCCCGAACTGGACACACAATGGGCCGAACATGACTCGACGCGAGTTTAACGCGCGACGGCTGACATCAAATGAGATGAACATCGTTGACGTGCGCCGGGGTTTGCGCAGAAAATGCGATGTTGGTAGGATTGGAAGCTAAGCAGTATCAGTAGAGCAAGTGGGCTGCTTACTGGGCCGCATATATCGTCAGTTAATTAGTTCAATCACTGCTCCTTAAATACAAGTGTGTCCACCCAATGCACTGGGCCGTCAGTCCTCAACCCTGGCTCTGCCCCGCGCCCCACACAGCCCGCTGTGAGCAAAAAACGGTCAACTTAAATTGGCTTAAAAAAAATTTGAAGAAACATAAACAGCAAGGATATTGCAACCCTTGGAGTGGGGCAGTCAGCATGGCAAGGTGTCACAAGAACACATTAAGCACTAGCGTCGCGAGTTTACGTTGACAATGATTGAAATGGAATTTGGTGGTGGCCTCCAAGAAAAACGACAGGGTTTACAACATAAACAACATAAACAACTGGATGGATGTGAGTCTGGAGTTCATTACAAATCACATCAAGCAACCTGAGCGTACATGAAAGGCTGCGCCATGCAAATACACATTTGCGAGCCCCTTGTACGTACACGGCATGAATTCGGGCCTCAGCTGCAGCTCCAGGTTGGTTGGCCTTGTCACACCCGCTTGCAGCTCAGTATTGGTAGTCTGCAGCGTGAATCGACGTCTTAAGTCTTGAGCTCGCTCTTCCACGTTTCCCCCGCTGGGTAGAGTTCTGCCATTTGGTTCCAATGGCTGGCAGTCCTGTGGGAAGCACGCGCCCTGATAAACTCATTTCGCCAAAATCTGCACAGCGCACCGCAACTCAATGCGCAACTTGAGGCAAGGGCAGATTGGCCCGCTTGATACAGCACACCCGGATACGCAACTAGATTCCATGAGTAGTCGCAGGTAAAGCAAGGCAAAAGCCGCATTGATAGATATTGAACACACAATGAACGTTTTTTCCTGACTTGGAGAGACCAACTGGATCCTCTCTTCATGGCTCTCCTGGCACAGCAGCGTCTGTGTTCATGGTGTTTACAAGCAAAACAACAATTCGATCTACAACCCATCGCTATGTAAAAACCAACGAACGATGGCCTGGATACTTTCTGCATCACTTTGGCCCCACACGTCAAACCTTGGCCGCGCTAGGATTGCATTGTGAATCGCGCAAACTGGAACCCAAATGACTACTGGTGGTCAATGTGGCATTGAATAAAACTCCATGGGTATGCAACCTTGAAAAGTTCAAGAAGAACCAGAAACGCTCGAGGTTTGGCAGCGCCGGCCAAATCTTTTTTGAGGTATACAATAGGAACCTTCCAATCCAAGAATCCAAGACCGGCTGAATGGACAAACAGCTTTCCTCTATGAGCGCTGGGCTCCAATGGCTCACCGTCTTGGGCCAAAGTTGGCAAATACCTCCCGCTTGAACGGAGACCGGGATAATCCATTATATACACATATAATATTTCTGTTGTTTTTTATATACGATTTTACGAGTGCAATCATGCCACGCAGTACACTGCCTCAACGCACTGGCCACGTGTGCTCATGTCCTTCAGTGACTTTAATCCATCGAGTTTCTCGTGCTTCTGATTCTTGGCTCGGAATGGGCAATGAAACCTTTGTCACATACCAATGGCGAGTTTTGATGGAACAGAACAACATACCAATTGTCACATATCGTCACCACTTATACTGTAGTTGTTTCTCGGCAGATGGTGAACCCATCAAGGGCCATTTTGCAAGCCAGTCGACTGGACGCCATTCTCAGAACGTGTATTTTCAGGCTCAGCCAATAAAATTAGGCCAAATCCGTTAAGCTAAGCGCTCCTTTTTCGCCTTTGAGCTGCCCACGCGGAAAAGCGCTAGCGTTAGGTGATGGATGTATTTCAACGCCCCCCTCTGCTTTCACAGGCGACGCGTGAATTAGCAGCGACTTTGAATGGGCGTAGCGTTGCTGCTAGCATGGCTCTCATTTGGAGGCCATAGCAACGCTTTGCACCATGCTGCGCTGCAGTCATGAACTTAGCCACCATAGGCCCACCAGCGGCCATCGCTTCCGCGTGCCCACCACTCACCATATAGGTAAGTGTACCTGCCCCAACGGTCAACGTTTGAAGGACCACGGGCAGCAGCGTGGGCTGTGCGCAAGGCTCCTTCACGGGCATCGCGCACTGCCTTCGCTTGTGGAGGCGCTTTGGGCGGAGCGTTGACTGAGCTCGAAGGTGCTGCAGGCGGAAACTTTGCTGTTGGCATCTGCCTTACATCGAACGTAGCGATGCGGGTCACATCCGCTGATGGTGAAGCCTCCAGGAATGGGGCTACCTGTTGGCGAGGTGCAGCTTTCGGCGGAGTAGTCGGCGCTGCAACCTTTTCCTCGGCCCTGATGCGTTCCGCTCTGCAGCCTGGGCGCTCTGAGCTTTCTTGTTCTCCGCCAACTTGAGTGCTGTGTGAAGAGAGTTGGTCATCGCGGTGTACAAGTCCCGGTGGCTGGTTGGCTCAACGATACCGGTGAAAAGGTCAACAGCTTGGTGACTTTACCTCTTTCGCGCCTCTTCTCGGAAAGGGTGATGAACTCCTCCATGCTGTAGAGTTCCCTGGCCCAGATGATCGCCTAATTTTCTTCAGTGAAGCGTTCAGCGAGGGCCCGACCTCCGAGGCCAGCGATGTTGGAGTCCACGTACATCAGCTTGGCAAACTGATTAATCTTAATGCCAATGCCGAAATCCACCTGAGTCTTGGTTCGAGGCGGCGTCGGAAGATGCCCGCGGGCAGCGATATCACGTGCGTAGATGTCTTGCGTCGTGATTCCATGTTCCGACATTCTTTCAACGAACCCAACATCATGTTCATACCTGTCGGCAAGTGAGGTAAAGCCGAGCGCAGCGGCTCGCTTCAGCTGTCGGCGAGAAGTTTCAATGAAATCTCCTTCAGGGCTTCTCTGTCCTCGGGCAGGTTCCTCGCGGAACTGCATGCTTTGGCTGTGCAAACGCTCGATAACACTGGCGTTCAAGTCTAAGTGTTCATAGCCAAGCTGCTTCAGCAGTTCGCGGCGCTTCGACAAGAGGTTTTGCTTAATGTCGGCACTTCCGGCGATGTTCGCGTTGCACGCCGGGCAAATGATGGTGCCTGCAGCAAACTTGCATCCCGGACACATGGGGTCGCCCGTTGGAATGTTCTCGCGCTGAGCCTTGTGAGGCGGCGTTGGTCCAACCTCTTCAACTTCGTCCTCTGCGTCAGGCTCATCGTGTTCTGGTCGTTCACGCTTTGGTTGGCCAGCGGTCATCACAACGTCGGCACTTCCAGCAGCGCTCCCAGCCGGTGTGGCTGTGGGCATACCCTCGCGGGTAGTGACAGGAGGTGTTGGCGTTGTCCTGGTTGCGTTCGACCTCGACCATAGGATGATGTCCTTCTCGGTGTCGCAAATATGCACGATCTGCGTGCTGCTGATGTTCTATAGGGACTGCGTCGTGAGGATGGCGCCACACTTCGTGGTAAAGCAGACAAGGCCGTCGGCAACTGCGTCGCGCAAAGCGATGACGATCTCAATGGGGTTGAGCCGTCTGTTGCCGGGCGCTATCTCTCCCTGCCTGATCTGCTGCCGTGCCAGATAAACGTGCGCGCGTCCGGACTGGCGTCGAGCTCCACCGCCTACGACAAGGCCATCTTTCTGTATGCCTTGAATGCCTTCAGTGATAAGCATTTAAAGGCACCTCATTCAATGCACCGATGACTGGCGCGCCAGTTCCGCGAAAGTTGGATAGATCATGGCCTTGTGATCCTCCGGGCGGACATCAACCGCATCAGTGCCGCGTCAGCATTGAAAAAGAGATCTGCTTCGTCTCGAATGAACGAGTTCGAAAAGCCTGCTGCAGCTCGAATTTTGAATGGCCATGTTCACCGTTCCACGCTGGACTCCGGCGGCTACGAGGAGCTCAAATCGGTTTATATTTTCCAATTTGGCCGGCCATGTAGCAGGTCTAGCACCTTCATCTTGGCTCGGGCAACTCCGCGAAGGGTGCGCTCGCAAATTGATTGAGGTCAAGGAACCTGTCATCGTTGTGTTCTGTGTCCCGATCATTCGTTGTGATTGCGCCGCGAAGGACGCCCGAAGCACGGGTAAGGCAATTCTTCAGCCAATGAGGCATCCTGTACCATTTGGGTGGAGGCGACAGATCTCATCCGCTCACAATGATATGATCTCATATGGGGCCTTTCTTGCGTCGAACTGACGTGCTTGCCACAGGCTTCCTTCATCTGATTTATTGCAACTCTACACTGACACCCTGAGGTTTGGATAGTGGACTGCGTGGTCTCTCGATGTCTTTGCTCTGCTTCATTTCGCACGGCATCTGCGTTGCCCGATGCTGTGCGCCGGCGCTGTACATTGTTTTGGATGAACTGGAAGTACGCTGTCACACCTTCAGATCCCATCGCAACATCCTCGGGCACGAGGTTTTGCCCCCGGCGGTCGGTACGACATCGCCAGAGCTGGGGGTCATCGCAAGTGCAGCGGACGCACTTCCGTCAGTAGCCATAGCAGAGGCTACGGCTGATAACCGGTATTTTCAGGCTCAGCCAATAAAACCAGGCATCCGTTAAGCTAGCAACTGCTAAGCTCCCTTTTCGCCTTTGAGCTGCAATGCTGCAAATCGGCCCCGCACGTAAAAGCGCTAGCGTTAGGTTAGGCGATGTATTTCAACAGAACATACTTCTCGACCGTGCCAACCTCCCAACGCAGTACGCTGCGCGGGTTAATGCCACGCGATCAAACGTTCTGTGCTGCCAGGCCCGGCCCTGGCACCTCAAAAAAACACAATGCGTCACATTACCATACACGTCCAAACTTTCCACTTTGGTAGCTTCGACAGCCCAAAGCGGACTTGTCACAAAGTGCTCGATAGAGAGCGGCCTGGCAGTTGGCATTTGCTTGGCCCAACAAACATACCAGCAAACTGCACGCGGCAATCTCAAGCCTCGCTCTCTTTGTACTTTGCGAATATGCCTGGAACAATGCTCGGTGCTTCGTCTTGCAGGTCAATTCTCCCGAAATACGCCATACGGAATGCTTGCTCCAGTACAGTGGGGCCAGCGTTTGACAAGACCACAACCATCGAAGCGTCACCTATATTGTATGAGTCGAAATATTGTTGGGGTGTTTGTTGCTTCCGCGTCTTCGCCGGTTTGCCCAGGTAATTGGCGGAATAAGGCCAGTTCTCATCAACAGTGACAAAAACATGTCATATATTAGGGGAAAGGCTAATTAGTGCAACTGTGGCCACGCGTCGACCTAGGCTCTCGCTCAGACTATTTGCTCAGTTTGTCTGGGACAAGCGCTTTCCTTTGCTTCAACCAGCTCGCTGGTCAAGTTCACAGCTGCACTTCGGCTACAACTACGGTTCCGAGTTTTGTGGAGCGCCATGTGCAGGGTTCATGTTGACCCCTTTGCAACAAAGACCCTGAGAGCAAATGAGCGACCGGCAACATTAGGGGGCCGCTGGGTCGAAGTTTTAAGGCAAGTATCTTTTATGGGACCGCTCCTTTGCTCATTTTTTCGGGGGGTATCGTCTACATGTCAAGCGCAAGTAAGTAGTAGTCGTCGTCGTAATAATCGTGGTAGTAGTAGTAGTAGTGGTAGTAGTAGTAGTAGTGGTAGTAGTAGTAGTAGTAGTAGTAGCAGTAATATGGAAGCAGTCGCAGTCGCAGTTGTGGAAGTAGTGGTAGTAGTAGTGGTAGTAGCAGTAGTAGTAGAAGTAGTAGTAGTAGTGGTGGTGGTATAGTAGTAGTAGTAGTAGT